GAAAGTTACTTTTTAAAAGTAACTAGTTACAGTTACAGTTTCCTTTGCTGAAAATGTAACTAATTACAGTTACAAGTTACTGGCTATGAAAAGTAACTCGTTACAGTTACAGTTTCCTTTGCTGAAAATGTAACTAATTACAGTTACAAGTTACTGGCTATGAAAAGTAACTCGTTACAGTTACTCAAAAAGTAACGAGCCGTTACTTTTAAGTTACTTTCTTGAAATGATTGTAAATTATTATTGTAAATACAAAAATCTTACATTTTAAGCGTTACTAAAATATAAGAACTGAATTTTACAATTAATATCTACCACATTAATTAGTCAATCCACTTAAAAAATTTCAAATCTGTACTTAATATAATAAAAATTTAATGATAGCCTTGTAGAGGTAAAAGAATTTAATCACATGCTTCATAAATACGTTCATAAAACAGATAGCACAGAGAATTTAAAGAATTTAAAGAGAATTCAGTCGTATGTCACCAATTCTGAGTTCATTTTTAAATGCATACAGAATTCTTTTGAACTAAACTCTGAAGAATTCCTTTTGCATCTGAAAATGAATTCAGAATTGGTGACATACGACTGGATTCTTTTTTAATTATTTTTTAATTCTCTGTGCTATTTAGGTTACTAAATTAATATACGATTACTATATAATTTTAATTTTATTTTACGTTCTTCAAGTAACTTTTAACTGTTAAAAAAAACTGTTAAAGTAACTGTTAAAAAGTTACAAGTTACTAAAAATAAGTAACTAAGTTAAGTTACAGGTGGGAAAAAAGTAACTAAGTTAAGTTACAGTTACCGAAAAAATGTAACTGTAACTTCGTTACAAGTAACGAGTTACTTCGCAGCCCTGAACAAATTTGCAACTAACGGGAATATTCCAAGTAAACGAAAGAATTTCAGTAAACGTTTCAACAATTCATTTTTTAGTCTATTCTCGCTACTTCTTAAGCTTCGATCCACAAGGAATTTTAAAGTCGGTCGAGAATTTCATCTCGCCGACTCCGAGAGGACACGCACGTCGTCTCGTCATTTCGACCTAATCGCAATCACATTATTATGCCGCGCATTCTAGCGCGAGTTAACGGTGGCGCGGCGCCGCTTCATCAATCATAACTGTTCCGGGCCGAGTAACGACAACGGTCAACCGTGGACACGGAGAAAGAATTGTATAATGTATGAACACACTAAAAAACATGGCCGACAGACGAAGCTTTAAAAACCTTAGATGAAATCCATTGTTCGCAGAAAAACATCGTCCGCATTTCGATTTTACCTTCGTACTCTCTAAGATACATTATCAATATATTCTTCACTGAAGCGCTATAACTGGTCGTTTAGTTATAACAACCACAATCATTAAAATCTCGTTGAAAGAATCAGTTAATAGTTGCGGTTGCTCTTATTTTTTATGCAGTTTGCAAACGCAGACAGTATCATTGCAGTGTAATGCACAAATAAAAACTATTAATCCCATCGCCACACACTGAAAAAAAAAACACTTGACTATTTATTTGTGAGATACAAGGTTTATTTCTGCGAAAAAAACCATATTTCTGTGAAATAAAGTTTATTTTTATGAAATAAACTTTTGTCTCACACACAAATAAATTTTCAAGTAAGAGAGATCTGAACTAGTTGGCTACCGGAGTAAGTTGATAAAACCGATTATTTTTAGTATTTTTTAACAAATTAAAAAATTAAGCAAGCAAGATTTTTAAACATGTCAAAGATGTATTTGAAATCCCTGCTTGCTTGATTCTGAAATCTATTAAGGAACAGTAGAAATAATAGATTTTGCCAACTTACCCCGGTGACCAAATAGCCCCGGCCTCCCCTATTTTCTTCTCAGTGCAAAAGCGAGAAGTTGGATTTGGCATAGCGTATAACGAAAAATTTCTGTGCTACAGATTTTGCAGCAAAATCTTGCTTTTACTGATTAAAATCAGTGAAATATAAGACAGAGTGTGCAGTAGAGTGTTTCCACTGAAAAGCCAGAAAAACTCACTGATCACCGGTGGGGTCTTCTTACACTGAGACAAAAGTGTTTGCCATACATTAATATACTGTAAGTTTAGCAAAAAAATTAAAAGTTTTATGTTTGGCGCCAAAGAAATAGGATCGGGACACTGATGTGTCACTTGGGTTTTTGGGAGAGCATATTTGTCCCAAAAATAATAAGTAGAGTGATAGCTGATGTGTGTTTTGAATGCCCAAAAAGTTGTTTATTCAATTGAATAAAGTTATTACTAATGGTGATGGGAAAATATATGTCCCGTTGGTGGCGAAAAGCTTAAAATAGCTGGTAAAAAATACCATCCTGATTTTACCTTCGCCCTAGTCTTTGACACTTGTATTCTTCAAACTGTTCTAGATCGGCTCAACGTCAGTTGAAGTGTCTTCCATCGAACAACTTGTTCCGGAGAAGGTGAGTGTCTCGCTTTGTATCCCGCCGTCGATCGATTTCTTAAACACGTTCGAATAAAACAATGCTTCTCTCCCTTTCTGTCTCCTCCTCTCCTCTTCTGTCTCTTTCTCTCGCGCGCTCACGAAACTATTTTGCGACCGAGGCACAGCTCTTCAGTTCGCATTGAACGTTGCGCTGACTCATAAATTTCTCGTTGTCTCAGCACGCATTCCAGCGAATGTTGATGCAACGCCCAAAATCGTGCGTATCCTGCTATGCCCTCCAGGCCGGTAGAGGAAAGGAAAACTCAAAAAGAAAATAATCGAGGCACGTGTTTCAGTGGCGACATGCGGAACGAAAAAATTTTCTTCGCTCGACGTTGTTGCATAACGCAAAAATCGGTTTTTAATGACCGCTGTCCGATGCGACGACGGACACGTACGAGTAATAAACAGCCCGGCCGAGCATTTTAATCGCGACTGATGTCACGACGCGAAAAAGAATGCGTGATTTTCGCGCCGCGATCGCGCCAGCTATTCTCGACGCGGCGCTCTTCCTTCCTCTGGACGGACGAACGCTGGACTGAAGGACTGCTATATGCTAATCCCGTTAGTTTGCTCGAATGTGCAAGAAATGTGCATAATCTATCTTTGTACAGAGGCGATCGTGTGAAGTGTATTCTACTGTAAGAGACTTGTCAGGAAAATTCGTCGGATCTATTGTCTCCTTCCTCGCCGGTTGGGTATTAACTAAGCGTTGGTGTACGTGAAGGTGACTTCAATGACTACTTTACGACAACAGATGCCTACTTAGTGAATATTAAAGTTTATTATGCGTCATCAACGATTGTAGAAAAGTGATGCGATCTTAATACGTTGATACGATTGGCTACCAGTGTGCCCGAGAAATTCTTTCTCATCGACTTAATTACTAGGTTTACAAAAGCGCACTAACTCTCGCCCTTATTACATTCATGCTTTATCCAGCTCTCGAGTTTTGATCCTATTCTTCTCAAACTCTCGCTTCTCTCTCCGTGCTCTTCCTCACTCTACTTTGTCTCTGCATGAATTCTTCTATCTATTCTCCTCTGTTAACTTCTTTCCCATGTTCTCTTTCTCTCTACAAATATTTTCAATATTCTCTCTCTCTCTTTTCTTCTTTCTCTTCCCCTCCACCCCTCACGTTCATCCGTCACCGTCCAGTATCGCATCTTTAAACACATAGGCCTCTCTACTTTAAATCCCCAGTGCTACTACTCTTACTCTAATTAACAATCGTATGAAAATTTCCTACCCTACATTGTTTCGTACGGTCATGTCGCTCTTCTGCGAAGAGTCACAAAAGAGGGACGCGTTATAATCCTCAATATCTGTAATTATTTTCTTTTTCGCAAAATACGGAGGAAAACGTAGAATTATTGACTGACTATCCTTAAAAGAACGAAGAATTAATGCAACGTCACTATTAATTGATATTTACTGGGAAGATCGTGAATTCACACACGTGAACGTGTCCAGAGTGAGGCGCGAAGTCGGTGCTCACTAAAATGACCAACTTTTCTTTTAGGCCCAGTTCCAACATTTTTAAACGTCGTTTAAACCTTGATCTGAGTTTAAGTCTTAAGAAATCCCGTCTTGTCTGAAGGCAGTTTAAATTCAAATTAAGATTTAATCGACGTTAGTGAAATCGAGCATTAATCAATCAATTTCGGAATATCGACCTTAACCCTACAGTCGTCGCGCTACTTTTTGAACACGAGTCGACGCATAGGATCTTGAGAGACTCCAATATAAAAAATTGTATATCTTTTATGTTGAGAACTTAAATATTTTCTTTGTTTAATTAGGTTTTTGGGTTCATGTAAAATATAAGAAAAGACTATTTTGAATATAATATTCTCTTAAAGACCCCATGCGACGACTGTAGGGTTAAATGAATCGAGACACAACAAAATATCGGGATTTTTTCATTGGTTACAAAATACTTTGTAATATTAATGTCTCTTTTTGGTTTATATATATATATATATATAGGCAAATTTTGATATATTAATTTTTTAAATGGATAAGTTAAATGAATTTTAGATACACTTAAGTACGTAAATATTCATTTATTATTAAGCCAACATCAATCAACAGAACACATATATAGCCTGTTATTATTTTTTTTATTACAGATTATTACTGAAACAAGATTAATAAAATTCTTGAAATAAAATCAAAGAACAATTATCAACGGAACATAAAATCAATGAAAAGTCAATACAAAATATCCTTTATCACACACACATACAAATATAAAACCTAATAATTTTATATTATTCATTTCACTTTATGTAATAAATCGGTATTTTATGTAATAAGTCGTTATTTTATTTATTACATAAATACTTTATGCAATAAATAAAATAACATTCCGGGGTCTAGGGTTCCTTCAGGAAACAAAATTCCCGCAAAATTCAGGACGGAAATACCGTTTCCCGTCACTCTAATGCCCGCGACTTCACGTGTCGCGGCGCTTGCGGCCATTGTTACCTTCAGCTATGAGGATGATCCATGACAATGGGTGATCTACGTACCTAAGCTCCGAATCGATCGCTCGACGCGCACCACCCGCACGGACAACAGCGTCGTGGCCGTTCTCAGTCGCGAGAGGGATCCCGACTGCGCGCGCTCACCTCCTCAGCCCACGTAGCTCATCTCCGGCCGGCTTTTCGCGAGGAGGAAGGAAGAGCAGGAAGACTGGAACGCGCGCGTGTGTTTACACAGAGCCGCGGAGGCTAAAAAGGAAATGGCGATCGTGCGCGCGAGACCGACGCCGCCGACGTACTGACACTCGGCCAGCCTGCGAGACCACAACGGGCTTCCCTTGGGAAACGCCGTGCGTCTCGCTCGCGCGCTCATTCGTCCGCCGTTCTTTCTGGTTGTACGCGTAAGGTGAACGGCAAGACACGGCAACAGGGAGAGAGAAAGAAAGAAAGAAAGAGAGAGAGAGAGAGAAAGTGAAAGAGAGAAAGAGACGAGGGAAAGACGTAGCGGGAATTGAATTTCCGTGACCGGTTGGCCGGCCGACCAATGGCGCGCGCCCGACTGAACGGGTCTACTCGCTCGCGCGCAGGCGCAGTAGCAGCGCGGCTCGACGCGCGAAATCGCCATGTGTCCAGTTGAATTGTTTCATAATCACAGAGCTTATTTCTCGATATTTTGCGAAAATCTTAAGCGTGTACTTTGCCACTTCGTGAGAAGTGAGAAGCTTTATCATTGACGTTATAAATCAGGATGGTTGCGGCAAGTAGCTAAGAGTTTGTGAAGATAAAGATTGCGGAGTGTTTGGTGTCTTTCAGATTGAGGAGAACATCTCTTCTTGCTCGTCTCCTTCGTAGTGAACGCCCGGATATTTTGGATTCCTAGATACTCGCCGAGGCCACGTTCGATCATAACGTCTGACGCGAGAAATGATAGATCGAAAATTCTTGCGTACTAATTTCAAATAAAAAGATATTTGAATAAGAGAACACTTCAGATCACTTGATATACTATACTTGTAAAATGCTCCAAAAACTATCCTTTTCCCTTAACAGTTGATAAAAAACTGTAAAATCAATGTGACGAAAAGAAAGATAGTTTAAAGAGGAAAGTTGCATGTCACGTCAATTTTATTTTATTTATTGACTGTCCAGAGAAAATGATACTTTTCGGAGCGTTCTACAAGTATGATCAAGCTATCCCACAAGTATTTTCTCCCATACAAACATATCTTTATCTGAAAATGGCGCGCGTTTTCCCGCTCTTCTGATTCGTCATCAATCAAGAACTCTGCGACGAGGGACCCAGAAGCCTTGATGTGAAAGTTCATCCGTTTGAAAAAATCGTCCATTTTTCTTCTTCCGTAAAACGTGCGCACCTTGTTCGCAATATAGATGCCATCAAGATAGAACGAAAGAGCGATAATGCATGAACGCGTGTGCAAACACGCCGCGCGGATCCACTTGAGAACACACTCGTGGGGTCTCATTCGTCTCCCCATGCGCGAAAAGGGGAGAGAAGGGGCTGGAAGTTGAATTTAAATATTGGTTCTGCCGATTAGTCACAGGCAGCGCGCACGTCATCGATAGCGAAAATAAGGAAACGCTAATCGTTCGCGCGCGGAGGTGTGTGTTTTCCTATAAAACACGGAAGAGGAACGACGTGGCGAGTACTTGGTGCACTTCGACCGGAGTCGTCGCCTCCCTCTCCTCTTCAATCCGGGCCGTCACGTTCGTGACGCGGCGCGATCGCGTCGGCCTGCTTCTTCACGGTTTCGCGGTGGTGCGGGCGAAATTTCCTCACTGACGAACGACGGCGACGACGACGGCGATGACGACGTGAACGGCGACAAATTGGGTCGCGGTCGTGCGAGACCCCGAAACTCTCCGGGCTCTCCTCCCGCGCTCGCTTTTTAATGAATATACATCGCCGACACCGCGCTCGGATCCGTTTGTCCCATTTTTGCGCTCGTCATTTTGCACTATCAACCGGCGCGTATGTAGATCACCGGCGTAACGTTGATCGCATATGCATACGCTCGCAACAAGTATTCAGAGTGCCTCCACTTTGTACGCTGCATATGCATTTATGCTAACTGCGAGATCAACGTAACGGCGTGTTTATACGGCCGCAGCTTTATGCCACCGTTCTTGGGGGAACAACCCCGAGGAACGTGTACCTCTCTCTGCTAACGCGGACACACAAGCACGCACACAGGCACACACATGCGCGCGTTTCTCGTACTTTGCTATTTGGTTCACCGCGAGCTGCCGCGTGTGAGGTCGCCTGAAAACGGAAGAAAAGGAAAAAGAAGAATATCGACGACCGAGGAATATCGACCGATCGCGCGACGAACGTGAGGAACGCGACGGCAAAGACGCGAGAACGCGCGCGTATATCTTCGAACGACGCGGCAAATTGTTGTCAATTGAATAATGAAGAGTGCGGAACATAACAACGTATTGAGTCGCCATCGATATCGCGCAATTTTCCGACCAGCCGTTACGACGGCGATGTGCTATTTTTCTCTCCTCCTTCTCCCCCTTTTTCTCCGTTTCTCGTCGATCGAATCACGACACTCGGAGATTAACCTTTAAACTGCCGGGAAAGCCACTTTTGTGACTATAACACCACTTTTGTAGCTTTCCCGGCAGTCTAAAGGTTAAAAAAGTACTTGGCTCATAAACTAATTTTTTTAGGAATCCTTTTAAATTCTAACAGTAGGGAAACTCTCGGAATATAATGGAAACTCTAAGATTTAAACAAGCTTTAGACATATTAAAAATAAATAAATCAGCAGGGTTTTGCAGCAAAATATTCTTTCGACTATCCACTATAAGAAAAAGACAAGTTTTACCGTCTGAGTACCTCATACTTTCAGGTTCTTTGTATGCCGATCATGTCGAGTCTGTGACATCAGAATGGAGGATTTTAAGGAGCCTTCAGACATCGCAAATACGTCTTATGTCTCGATTTTCGAGTTTCTCTTTCGACTTATATTTTTTTTCCAGCTAGTGAAATCCGCCAGAAGACCGCAAGAGCGCATGGATCGTAAAGCAGGACCAAGGCTGTAAACGCCGTGTATAATTCGGGGATGGTACGAACACGCGAGTATTAATATGTCCGTTTAATGCGATACATGAGGCATGACGATACTATCAGCTTGGTAAAGACAGTGACCGTTATATTATTTCGTCGTAATAATAATATATATATATATATATATATATATATAATATGTATATAATATATATATATGTATAGTTCAACGTACAAACTATATACCTTAAATAAACTCTAACGCGGGGGCGTACTATATGTACACAGCCTTAGACCAAGTGCTGGCCTAGGTACGCCGGTCGGCGTGGTAGATATACGATCTAGGATCTAGGAGCCTGGCGATCGACTGCGCGACGCGTCCTCACGTGTACATTCCACACTCCTATTAACTAGTTATCAACATTTATACATGGCGCAACACGCACGCACGCACGTACACGCACGCGGGTATGCTCTGACCCGCTGGTAGGACTGTGCAAGGACCCCTTAATCGAGGACACGCGAAGTTCTTGAGCCCGCGGGGATCCTCGAACCGCGCGGTGATGCGAATTTTCGTCAAGTGACAGGCGTTGTTTTTTTTCTTTTCTTTCTGTTGTTGAAATTAGATACTCACTACGTTGGAGAACGACGTGAGGCACATGCAGCTCGAGACGCGACGTCGACGGCGACGTGGGCCCGAATAGACTGGCGTGTGTACTCGGGAATGTCATACGTGTCAATTGTTCGCGATGTAAACAATCCGCCGGTCAACAAATCGGCTCAATTAAACCAGCGGATATTGTTGTGTGAAATCAAAGCAACACACTAGCTTCCGGGTAACAGTAGCTAGCATGTTGTTTTCATTTCTTATGGCATTCTGCTGGATATGGGTATTCCATAACTGGTGATACAATCGGAAGGAGAGATTCTACATGAAAAAAGGTCGAAAACGTAGAATAAACGTAGAATAAACTTTTTTTATACAAGGTTTGTTTCCGATTTTTTTTTTGTTTATGGAGTCACATTAAATCAATTGCTTATTTTGAAGAAATTACAAATATCGAGCAATTAAAAAAAGAGATTAGTTTAGCGTTTGATAAGTTGAATTGTAAAAATTTATTTCGAAGAGCAGAAACGTGTATTCGACATAGAACGATCGACATTCTCAATTCATGAAGTAATCAAATTCACGCGTGAATATCCTGTTGTGTATTCTTGATTGCCCAATACAAACATGAGCACAGATAATAGTTTGTACAACGAGATCTAACAAGACACAATTAAGTGCATATCTGATGAATTTTTAAAGTCGATTTAGTCGAAAACAAAACCTCATATGAAAAGAACTTCATTCCAAGTTTCCGACTTATTTCTTCACGTAGAATCATTCTTTTTCCGCCAGTTATGGGACACCCTATACATTTCCGAAAGAACGGTAAAACAAAAAAAAACTGCACAAAAGTCGCGCAAATTTTCAAATTCACCAACTTTCGTTTGATAAATGCACCAGCGACTCTTGTTTCTCGCTCTTGAAGCGCATTGTTCTTTGATTTTTTTATTACCTCTTTTCGCAGCTCCATATCGACGCATTATATCGAATGAGTGAGCTCCAGGCAGAACAGAAAATCACATTGACGCCAAAATAATAAGAGTGAGTCATTTTTCTCGTCATTTTAACGTCATCGTGATTTGCGGTTCCAGCTAGCCGTTTAACGGATCGCGCGTTAAATTCGCAAAAGAGTTCGAGGATCCTCGATTTCTCAAGCCTGTCGGGATGATTACTGGTCATGCTCGTTCGATGAGAGATAAGAACATAGCGATTATATATAAAATCAACTAAAATTGTTATTGCGGTATTGTATAGTGGCACGTAACATTTTAATATAAAATTCCCCTCTTTCGAGATGCATAGTGATCGCGTATAGTGATTAATTACAGTCGATTACTGTATACAATCGTAGTATAATGGTTTGCCGCTTACATCGCATTACGTATACTTAACGATCTCCCCCTCGGCCAGGTTTAACACCGCTTTTTTCTGTCTTGCTTTCCCTCAGGGTTGTGCCGTTTTCATGATTACGTCTACGTGGACAGTTTAGGTGTCATACATGTGACGTGTACATGGTCTCTTTTCGTGTGGACAAGGTAAACTATGTAGAACCTTATAAATTAACTTAAAACATACAAAAAGAAGTAATTAAATTAGAGACAGCTATCTCGAATCTGTCCCGGGTATTAATTGCAAACGTAACGTTCGAATAAAAACGAATTGCACGAAATTTCCATTTCATTATATGACAAACCGGTAGATTTAATTCCGAAGGTAAGAAGGTAACCAGAGAATATATCCTGTAAACTTTCTAATTCGAAAACAATGTTTGTCAATTTACATCAGGATTATAAAGGTTTAATAATAATATGAAGTTTTTTTAAGTTAATTTTTTAGTAAGCTATATGTCCTTTAAATGGTAGGTTAATCGTTGTCTGCATAGATAACATCTCGTTCATAGTTTACGTTGTCTGCATGTAGACGTACACGGAGGGAATTTTACAGCAAAAATTACTATAAAATTTTGTAACCGAGGAATAGACCGATATTCTGCAGCAGTTTATCGTCACTTCATTTGTGCTATTTAAGCAGGACGGGTCAATAACTATTGCTACCTCGAATATCTTCAAAGCAAGAAATAACCCAGTAAGCAAAAAATCACTAATAAAACGTTATTGCAACAATGTGCGACAGCGCATAACGTTTTCTAATGTATAGTTTTTAAAGTTGTATCAACATTGCGAATAACTTCGGCACTTCACTATTTCTAGAACATTTTTACAATATTCAAAGAGATCCTATTATCCGGCAATGTCTTTGAAATATTTGTAAAATATTAAGCGAAAGTGTGTTCAAGAGAGATACACATAAAATCATCTTTGTTTATTAGAAAAGGAAGATTTTCGAAGCTATTCTGCTTAAAAGAAAATTCTACTTAAAGTTCCTTGCACCTCGCCGCGGCCACGTTGAATTTGTGACGTCAGAAACGAGGAACGACGAAAATTACGTGTCATTTCTAAATGAAGATGAATATGGACGAAAAAGCACGAAAAAGCCTGTTTGAACATACTTTTAAAATTGTCTGAAGGTATTCCTGGTACAAAATTAATAGTCGTATAATAAATGATAAAATAAAGCGTGCAGACAAAACAGACTTATTTCATCAGTTCACGTGAGATATGATCCATTTAAATACCGTAAAAATGTTCTAGAAATAGTGAAGTGCCGAAGTTATTCGCATAATGTTGATACAACTTTAAAAACTGTACATTAGAAAACGTTATGCGTTATTGCACATCGTTGCAACAACGTTTTACCAATGATTTTTTGCTTACTGGGTTATTTCTTGCTTCGGAGATATTCGAGGTAGCAATAGTTATTGACCTGTCTTGCTTAAATAGCACACATGAAGTGACGATAAACTGCAGAATATCGACTTATTCCACGGTCGCAAAATTCTACAATAATTTTTACTGTAAAATTCCCTCCGTGTCTCATTTCGTCATTTATTACACGACTGTTTATTGATCATCAAGGGAAAAGGATACCTTTCGGACAATTTTGCAAGTGTACTCAAGCAATCTCAAATGTTCTTTCGCCTATATTTATCTTTATACAGAAACACCACGCAACTTTCGTCACGCAGCATGCCGCCATGTCATTCCATGGCCGGCGAGATACAAGAAGCCTTAAAAAGAAAATTTTATGATGATTACGCTTTTCTCTGGAAGGAGTAGTTTCGAAGAACTTCAAGTCACCTTTGTTTTTCTTCTTGCTTCGAAGATATTCAAGGTAACGATAGTTATATTGACTCACCTATATATTAGGAATTGGAATGTCGTATCGTTAGCGGAATCGATTATGTTCCTTAGCAAGATAGATCCTACTGTCAGACTAATCTTGCACTACTGAAAATGCAGTAAAATTGAAAAGAATTTATATGAAAGAAGAGGAAACGAAAACTATAATATTCTCTCCGTGTAGAGTAACCATAATTCATGCGTAAACGTCCGACCCTGCCTTCTTCTTTTTCTCTTCCTTCCTGCAAGTGCAGGAATATATTCTCCTTTCCGAAATCCAACGCGCTCTCGAAGAGAAGTAACGATCTTACGTGTCTCTCCGACGATCTCGTCGCATAAAGCATACGATACTTACTCCACCAACGCCCGGTTTCTTCGGCATCAAACGTTTCCAGATGCATTCTTAAAGTGTATTATCATCGGCCAAATTAGAAAAACACGAAACTCCAAGTTTGGACGAAATTGAGATACTCATCTCGTTCGACTTGTCTCAGACAGAGAGATTTCGCGTCGTTTGAAAAATTTCTCGTAAAATTGGAATTTTATAAGTTGAGAAGTTCTTCAATTTGGCCGATGAGACTCGACCGCCTTCTCGAGACCGAAGTCAAATTATTGCTTGCTAATCAATTACGAGCCCGGGCGCTGATGGATCAGTCGCACGCAACATTTCAATAAAGCGTTTCTAATAATGAGGATAACCCGAGGAGGCTCTGCGGATCCGACAACCTGTTAAATCAAAGTTCCGCCTAAAACCCTCTCGCCCTAAGTCTCTTCGATAGCCTAAAATTGTTTCCTTTTACTTTTCTTTCGTTACGGTTTATAGTTTTAAAATACGTAGTTGCAAAGTTCTTATAAAATATTTATTTATATAATCCATTACGCGCGCGATAAGGATAAAGGTTCGGGATCACCGTGACCACAGCTTCGCGCGAGGTCGAGGATATCGGGAGGATCTAAGTGACCGAACGATTTACCGGATGTCCGGATTTCCCGTCGTTACAATCGACGCTATCGTAGTTACAACAACCGCCTGTCGTCCGATGTAAAAATCATCTCTCATTGCACATTCCTACTTTCCTCGGGGAGGCATTTGTGTAGTGTTATACATGTATATCTTCCTTTCACGCACGGAGAAGGACAAATTGGTGGACATTGTCACGAGCTCGGCGTTCAGAACCTCGAAACTCAGAATCTCAACGCGCGCGTGTCCCAATCTGATATTCCACGAGTGACATTTCACGAGTTCTCTTCGTAATTACATCTCCCCGCGTGGATCCCTCCTCGGAGAGAACACTCCTCTCGAGGAGTTTGGGAATCAACTTCTGAATTTCGAGGCGTTACCGCATAATGCATTCGAGGGAGTTGAATCGCAGAGCGAAATTCTCCAGGAATGAACCGCCGAAAGAACCGCAGAAGCACCATCGCGTTCTCGTAGATAAACAAAAATGTTCTCGTAGATGAGAGAGAGAGAGAGAGAGAGAGAGAGAGAGAGAGAGAAAAGCTTACGGCCAGTTCTTTCCTGGAAAAGGGGTTCTAATTTATTCAAGAGCCAGTTGCACCAACGCATTAATTAATCATGCTATTAATTTTTTATCTTAAGGCTTCTGAGTTTCATCGCCGCGGTCATCTTGACTGATGAAGTCAGAAGCGAAGAAGTGCACGCTCAAAATGTTTAGAAAAGCATTTAAACAAAAAGATATGCTCATAAAATCACACTCGTAATTTATGAATTGCGTCATTTTATGAACATATATTTTCATTTTAACGTATTTTGTAAGAATTTCGAACATATATATATTTTCTAGCTTTTGACATCATCAACCTAAATGACTGCGAGGAGAGACCTATTCTGCAATTTTTTAACGCATGTGTTATGTGTCGTCACGCAGGTATGATATATATATATATATATATATATATATATATATATATATATTTAAAATAACTGCGCAACGATGTCAACAACGAGATTGTCATTAAAAGTTACAGAATTAGCGCAGTGCAGCCCGAAGAAAATCGAAACAATTGAATTGTCAAAGAAATCGTCATTAAGGAGAAAAATGCTATAAATCGAAAGTGCCAAAAGCCGTGGAGCAGCAGAAAGAGAGAGAGCAAAAAAGATGAGATCAAATATAATTAAATAATTAATTGAGACAATAAATAACCGTGTAAATAACTTACATCCTTTCCCTGTTTACATCATAAACTTAACGGCGATATTCAGCTAGACGAGGAGTCACTATTTCCAGGAGGAACAAGAGACGGGGTGGGGGAAGAGAGAACGAGATAATAATAGCTAATTAACCAGAATTATCAGTGCAACCAAGCCTGTGCGAACGTCGGCTATTTACGGCCGTGCGTCTATATCCGTGCGTAAAGGTGCGGAAGTAAACGCGAGGAAGAAGTGACATGGCACGATAGCTTAATAACACAACGCCAACAAGAACAAGAAGGAGAAAAGGAAGAAGAAAGGGAAGAGAAAGAAGGCAGGAGATAGAAATAAACGGTCGCGGGAGAGGGAAAGTGAACGAACGAGTCGTGAAATAGGGGCAACACGTGGGAGGAAAGACGCCGAAGGCTTCGGCTCCTTCTCGTTATTACGTATTTACAAGGAGCTTCCTGTGTTGTGGACCGCCACTGAGAGTCCGGTTACGATTGATAATCGTCATACGCCGCGCGTGCGATTATAAGTCACTAACAGCCATGCGTATATTGCACTGACGAAGTTGTCACCGATCATGGTCGCGTCGCAGCGGTCGCGAAGCGACCAAGGACGGAGTCGCCGAAGCTCGTCCCGTGAAGTTTCTCAGGTGGGCGGAAGTTCGTCTCTCCGCGAGGCGAGGCGAGGCGAGGCGATTGTTCCCACCTGCGTCATCGGTCAAAGTAAACAAAAGCTCTGCTCTCCCTCCTTCTCCCCTTTTACCATTCACATCGTCGAGATAACCGCCGGGACAACTCGACTGGGAATAGGGGAGCTACTGTGAGAAACCAACTGACGAACTTCTGCGCTCCGCTGTTATGAATCGTGAACGATGGCTCTCCCAAGGTGTTTGTTTTGCTTACTTCTTTATTAATCCGCCGAAATATGTGAGTGCACTGCCGACTCGGATCGTTCCCGCGCGCGCGGATCAAATGATGTCGTGAGACAGACGCCGGCGATAATCTGCGGAAACATCCGGAGCTTGTCTCCTTCCCAACGATCAGGGACAATTACGATCAACGTCACGTCGTCTCTAACGCGACACTCGCTGCCAATCGTTTACGCATGACGGGTACACGTGTAGTCATTATAATCGCAGTGTCTCGCAACGATACATTATACGTTGTATGTCGTCGTTATGTTAAAATAAGAATATAAAATTAAAGATCTATCAACAATTGTACATATCCGTAGAAAAGGTCCGTGAGTAAAAAAAGGTCTCCTCCGGGCAAGTTAAACGCGATCGACTTTCGGGCGTCTCGCTCTCAGACTCTTCTTCACGGGAACTTCGCCTTTTCAGTACTAACGTCAATAAATCGTCAAAACAGTCCCGCTGTGAATTTTCGCTCTCTTCTCGTGTAAAAACGCATGTGTATTTTATACAGAATATTTCGCGAAGCATAGCTGTATTAAATTTCTTACAAATTAGATTCGAATCGTGTCTCTCTTTGATATAGAAAATCGCTGTTATCAATCTAATCTCGATATCTCTAAGCGTAGGCCAATGAAAGACGTTGATTTCCCGATAAGCGGGCGAACGAACGACTTGAGAAGGAGGATCGATAGCCCTAAAGTCGATATCGCGTGACACATCTACATTCCTATCTGCAAGCTCGAGCTAGCTCCGTAATTATACTGATTTGTGCGGGCGAAGTTGGGATAATTGAATGCCGGATTAAACCAAATCCTCTAAGTCGTAATTAAGTTCACGATTTCTACGCGCATTGCTGAGCGCGCTGGAGACTGTAAGATTCGTAGAAATGGTTACAAGAGTGATCCGCCATGAATCCTTTTCGCGAATCACCGTCTCGCGACGAAATCCTTCGTTGTCCTCGCCGATAAACTCCGCGCACTCGAGTTACAGCTAATTAACGCTCGTGTTTTGGCAGAGGTGAGCGCTCAGCAAGCGCTCAGTGATCATTTTCTGCGACCTGAGACACTTTCTTCGGGTTCTCTCGATGTATCCAGAATGAAATATCAATCAGGAGCGACGATCACTGAACTTTTATCAAGCGCCCGCTTCTGTGCTGAACACTAGGCTGAGGCAATGTGTAAAAAGACTCCAGAATGCTCGTCGCGCACGCTGCACAATACAACGTATAAAGACTTTGGCTTGAGATATACAACATCGCGATGCTCGTGTGCGTGTCGCAGCCTAACGCGTCCGAAACCGTTCGCCCAACCGTGCAGAACTCGATATTAACACATAACCATGCGACTTCATTTTACGCGTATTTACTCTTTCCACACCTTTCCGTGTATTTTCGCTTCGGGAGCGTCACGTCGACGTCACGAAGGGAAGAGTCTATCGCCGTCATCCCGCGACTCGCAGGTAGGACGCGGAGTGTTATATGTACAAATGTGGAGCGCTTGTCATTCGATCCTCCGAGCCGCGGGATAACGCACCGATGTGATCCAGCTAAGTGTCCCGTCTTTCTCTCTACAATACTCGTCTACGCTGCGATGTGCCTCGCATAATGAAAATCAAACGGTTACACATTAAGTGCGACTGCAGATGGATCGGTCGGGTCTTGTGTGCATCGTCCTTCGCCGCGCAAATGCAAAAGAATCGAATACCGGGATGCTACGGTGCTACGTGCTTGGTCGATGCGTCGTCGAGTCGCTCTAAACTGGACAGTCGGCCGAGTATCCGCGCGACAGCAAGCCCCGCGGATTATTTATGACTTTATCCCGAATACACATGACTTATTATCGATTTCATGATTCGTCATCGGTTTCGTTATACACACCGACCGTTCTCTATCTCGTTATGTGTCATATACGCGTACGTAATGTGATACTAATTCACGAATGTGATCGAAGTGACTTCCCAAGAGAGGGAGGATTCGATGGCAGTTGGACTTTTCGAGCGCATTGGGTGTATCAAGTCTGCTTGTGCGTACCTCTCGCTAATGGTAACGCTCGCTCCTCTCTGTTGGAGCGCGTTAACGTTCCTCGATACGCACAGTAGAACTCCATTGATCGGAATATATGTTCATTCTCTACGTATTCATCCCATTTCCTCTATTTCAAATTATTCACTCCAACAACGAATCTCGCGTTCGGCTAATTGGCTAAAACGTATCTTGCCGGGAAATATGCACTTGTGCGAGGACGCACGCATCTACAGAGTTAAGAGTCTGCGCGATGTCGCAGATCCAAATGGCAAACCCAGGAACTGGGGTTTGAATGTGAACAAGGAAAACGAAAGAGAAATCCGATCTAAGCGAAACCTTCGTGAAAAGAAGGTTTGGACCTATGATGAGACGTACGCGAGTCGAGGGAAACGAGGAACGAGAAATGTTCCCATTATAGAGTTCTCTCTAAAGTCGCTCGTCTCGTCACACTCGACGCGGAATCGTCCTCGCGAATGGAGTTCCACTGCAGCCTCGGCAGGTTGTGCAAGGACCGCCGACGGGGAGTAAGAGGGCGGAGAACGGAGGGAATGGCCTTGCTGCGCACACCCGTTCACATATTGTACGCCACGTAAATCGGGTCGAGCTGGTCCGCCAGGAAGCCGTCGCGCAGGTGCATCCGTTGCTTCTCGCCGCGCGAATTGATGGGTACCACACCGGGGTCCACTACCACCACCACGCCTACCACAAGGTGATGCTCCTCGAGCACGGCGCTCGTTACCAGAGCCACCAGATCGAGGGCCTCGCTCTCGCTGCCGTCCAACTCTACCACTACCACTAGGAGGTTGGTCCATGTGAATACAGCACTGGAAAGATAAGATGTTCGATCGATTGATAACGAATGTTCAATTAAATTAATTAAATCGTTATATTCGAGATATATATCAGAAAATGAAAGAAAAATAAAGCCTATGAGATTCAACTCAATTAAATTAATACCTTTTAAATTAGCCCTTCAAATCTCGGTTTCTTATTTAAAAATTTGGTCTTATTTTAATAGAAAGATATAAAAAAACTTAAATAGTGTTTAAAAATTTTGATTTAAATATTGGTTTTAATATAAGAAGAAATTATAAGTTATATTACAAAAAACTAGAATGATGTAAATCAAGTTGTTTATACTTAAAATTTTGCTATAAAATAACCGTACAAAGGAGTTTCGACGAATTAATACAAAATTAATTAAAAATGTCTTTTTTTCAATTTCTAATATTAAATGGCTCTTCTATATTTTCTAAATTTTTAGAAATAATTATATATCGTAACATATACCTAAAGATACGTCGAGGGACTTAAAGAGTTAATGAGATCAACTCATCAATGAAACGTCAGTGAGAAAATCCAACTTGAATTTAACTTACCACTCTGCTATTTTCTTGTGACACCTCATGACGCTGTTCTCAATGTCTATCGGATGGTAGCGCATACCCCGCAGTAGTATAGCTTCGTCGAGAGCGCCGACGACGAATACAGCGTCGTGCAGCTCCGGATCGCTTGGCACGAGGTCAGCCTCGGCCGCGGACGTGGTATCGCCGGGTACGTCGCTGATCACCGACTGCTGAACGCTCTCAGTTCTCCTGAGGAAACCGAGGTAACCGGTTCTCGCGTATACCTCGTTTGTGTTGCCGGTAACCAGCCGCGCGTTAAAGTGATCGGCGTAGTCGCTCTCATCGCCGTAGATCGTGAAGTAGCCGCTGGCGTTGTGCGACGACTGCACCCAGATCTCACCCAGGTGCGAGTCGCCACATTGACCCTTGGTCTCGGGATTCGCGATGATCACTTTCACGCCAGGCAACAGTTTACCTGACTCCATCAAGCACAATGAATGCGGACTGCCGCGTTCCACCAGAGACACCCGGTCGTTGCGTAACGCACGTAGATCCACATAGACTGTTGAAGGCTCCGGGCTCGATGCGCCCTGTCAAAAGATTCCACGGAATTAGAAATACAAATCCACACATATTTTATATTAGTTATCGCGCACAAATAATTTTGCATATTTGTAATTCTAAATTTAAATAAAAACGATATTAAATATTCGTTTGCGATACAAAATTGTGATGCGATATATCACATTCATTGGAATTCTTAAAAAAGATCGCATCGCGATACAAAATTTGATCAATCGCAACGTCTATGAACGCCCTAAATTAATCTTATTACCTGCAAGCAAATGGCAGTGTTTACTCTGCAACCGAACGAGGTGGAGACGGCGCGCGGACTCAAACCGAGGGCTGAAAACAGTTTGCTGAAACTCGTCGTCAACGCTATTCGCGGCCTTTCCTCCGCGACAACAACGCACGTTCTCACGCAAGCCAAACTGACCCCTCGGGCTTTGAGCGTATGAACCGATGAGCCGAGTCCTTTCGTGCACAACTCCATGACACCATAGGAGCAAAACGTGTCTCGTACTCTGGACTGACTAACCGCCGACAACCATAGAGCGGGGTTGGCCTCCACCTGGTGAAAAATTACGAAGTAATTGAATTAAACGAGTCGGAAATAATTGTATAGTAAAAATTGCTGCAGAACTTTGTAACCGAGAAACATTCTGCCTTAACTTATTATTTTTCGTCTTCACATGTGCTAATTATATTTTAAAAACTAAAGTACTACTACACGGAAATAAAAGATTTAGTTGAATTAACCAAATATCTGATCGAATATGAACGATTCAGAAATTCCGATTGAAGTAACCTGAATTCTGTTTAAGTTAACAAAATTTTTGGTAGATTAACCAAACATGTCTGGTTATTTAACCAGATATGTCTAGTTAAATAACCAGACATGTTTGATTAGTCTACCAAATATCTTGTTAACTTAAACAGAATTCGGGTTACTTCAATCGGAATTTCTGGGTCGTTCATATTCGACCAGATATTTGATTAATTCAACCAAATCTTTTTTTCCGTGTAGGAATTAATCTACTACTACAAAATTTATTGTTCTTTAGCAAAATAAACGCTATTGGCAGTCTACGTATCTATATTATTAGAAAATATATTTGAAAAAAATTAGTATGAAAAAAGCTATGCTACTCTTTCTGTATAAAATCAAGAACAATATTATATTAGCTATATGCTAAGCAGAGATTAACACCTACCTCAGAAGGTGGTATCAATATGGAATGATGTCCGCTGTATATACTGCTGAGACACCACAAGGCGAAGCCAAGCCCTGAATACGGATCCAGACAGAGAGCGATGTGTCTAGAAGGATAAAGTTCGCACGCCAGCTTCATAGCACGGCACAGTGAGGTGACTGCCGCGTGAGACATCTTGATGCCGGCAAGCATACCCGTCGTCGAGACGCTGAAGTCCAGGTAGGCCAACATCTCCGCGGTGGGCGCCCGATACATCACCGGCAGCTTCTTCTTTGGCATGTCGTCCATATCCAGGATCATCGGCCAACTTTTTACGTCGACCACGTTATTCGCTTCCTACGATATAAAGAGAATAATGTCAGTAGATGAACTACGTACACACTTCGTTATCGTTAATTGATTGAGTAATAAATGAATCAATCGTCCTCAATTACTTTTGTTTTCAGCAGCTTCAGGATGTTCTGATTGGTCAACACGAGGACAGACTTGCTGACGTCCACGATCATGCGAACGGTCGGCAAGGTAGTCTGTAGATTTTGCGGATGCGGCGGCCTAATGGTCACCGGCACAGCACCGACATACAAGCAGCCATAAAACGCACATATCAGATCGGTGCCAGGTGGGAAGATGAGCGCCACATGGTCGCCTGTATTGACTCTTCCACGATCCAAGAGCAGGTTCCCGATCCTCTCGGCCTTCTTGTGCAGTTGCGAGCAGGACAACGAAGTGGCCACGGCCCCCTTCGCGTTCAGCGATGTAAATATCACATGGTCCGAGGTGCTGACGGCGCGCCATCGTAGGATTTCAGAGATAAACTGATACTAAAAAACAGTATTCGAATGAAATGGTACGACGAGAGCTGGTCTTCTTCTTTCAACACGTGTCAACGAGGACGAAACTGCTCTGTACAAGAGAGAAAACCCGTTGTTTGAAAATAACGAGTCTTATCAGACTGTCACGAACCTTTTTGGCATTGTCGCTGTCCTCGTCCAAGACACCCATGTCCCGTCCTTGCGCCGAGGCCAGTCTATTACCCTGGACGATGTTCCCCACCATGACACTGGCCGGACCAACGTCTGCAACAGAATCCCCCGCTACACGCCCCCGCACCACTCCGTTAGTAAACCAACACAAACACTCAACCCAATAATGAGTAGCTCACACACTCTCCCCTGACTGAGGCCGGAAAATCAAAGCTAGAGCAATCTGGTTCGCCAGTCGGAGCCGACAATACAAGCGTTCCATCAACGGCGCTTTCTTATAGGTTTGGAAACCGTGGGCTCGTCGGGCAACATGATCATATCGAGGTCCGAGGTTCCGGGAATCCTTAGATAGATATGTCGGTACTCTACGATTTTCTGGTGCCTTGGATTTCAAGAATCCTAAGTTACACGATACGTGGATCTTTTCGGATTATGCGAGTCGTCGGGTCCGTGACACCCTCCTCTCGCTGCCCTCAAATCCTTGAACTCACGGGCCTTCCGCTTTAACGCGAATCTTTGGATCCACGGATGCTTGAATTCCCGAACAATTACTGGACTTGTGAATCACCGTTACAGTCCACAGATCCCAGACTGACTGCACATTGTGTTAAAATGCCAAAGTAAAGTCGAAAAAGAAACAAGAAAGCATCGAGCTCTGTGAGAAGCTACAAAGTCTTCCCTGATGCCAAAAGAATAGCTAAATAAAAGGCGGAACCTCTGATGGCTAAAATCAATAATGTTTGCGTAGTGCGCTACGGGATATTCGGAACTCAGCCAAAAGAAAGAAGGATAACTAAACAGTGTATCCATGCTAAGCGTAATTAACCGTGTGAGGGTTGTTAATAGAATGCCGGGGGTGTGCGATAGCATCGTATCCCACTGTTTTGATTTCTTGTAAGAAACATGAAATAGATTTTTGAGCAGTATTTCTCGAGAAATTGCGACACGACGTTACCGCACACTCTATATAGTGCCTCAAAAAAGATAAACTTGTGATATTTAATCGTGAAGAAATGTGTATGCGATAATTTTTTGCGCGAATAAGTTGATGTATTGAATTATTATTACAAGGGAGAACACACACGATGTGCATAAAATAAATCTTACTGTTACGAATTTCATATACTTGTTTTTTGAGACACGCTGCTGCTGTGTAGATAAAAGTATTACTAGACTAGTGTTCGCCAAATCTCTGAAGCCTACCAACAATTTCGTACAGATGCACGGACACTTAAGTTCCTTGGTGCTAATAAGGATTCTAAAAAGAGCGTAATTTGTGATTATCAGCGCATTTTTTTCTACTCTTTCCCCTATCTCTTTCATTCTCTCCCCCTCTCACTCCCCCACTCACTCACTCTCTGTCTTTTTCTTTCTTTATTATCACTGTCTCCCTAGACAGTTCACATGCAGCACAATCCAAAAAATTCTTATATTATTTTCAATCGTATTATCACATTCCCCAATTATTTAAAATATAATCAGTTGCTAAAAAAAATTTCGCGTTTAAATTTAATACAATTTTTTATATTAAACGATTAGAAAAAATCTTTTAGATTGCTGCATATTTTTTACACTAATTATATTGCTTATAAAGATTCTATTGCAAATACTTGCTGACACTTGCACGATTTGCATTATTTAGGTTTACGTCGATACCTGTCAGTCGTATCCCGATAGATATCGACGTGATACCCGTCAGTAAACTTTGCTTCAGTTACCTGAATGCACTTCGCGCGGTTTTGGTAGATTGGTGACACAGGTGTGGGGACAGAGCAGCACGTTTGCCGGATGCAAAGCGCCCTCGAGGAAGCGACGTTTAGTCTCTGACAGATGAATACCGCCCAGAGGTGTCTTGGGCAGATAATTAGGTGGCACTAAGGCGAGACAGTATATTCCTACCGCGTGAATCGAATCGACCGCTTGCAGCACTCGAGACATCCACTGGAAGCTCTGCAAGAAAAAAGAACTTTCCTGAGGATATATGTCAAAAAATTTGTGATCGTTATAGTTTTATAGCAAAAAGAGGTAAAATAAACATTATAATTTTTTCTCAATGAAACAAATGGAATATTTAATTTCAAAACGCACCTCTTCCTCGCTACAATCCGGCCGCTGTTCCGCGACAACGCATATCCTCTCGTCTCTGAGGACTCTCACGCTGAAAACAGCGATTCTGCCGCGGTAAATAAATTTCATCGGCTCAACCGCCAGCACAGTGGCGATAATATCGTCAGCGTTGTGCTTCCTGCCGGTCACAGTCATTAGACCATCGCGCGAACCACAGACGAAGACGAGCCCTCCGGGACCGAGGAAACCCAACAAGCCAGAGCGTGTGTACTCCACGTCACCGAGAGCTGTACTGTCGGCTTGCAATGGCGACACTTTAAAGGTGTTGTTGGTGAGTCCTTGCAAGCCCCAATATTGGCTGCCGGTCGCAGAACTGTGAACGCAAATTTCTCCGACTTCATCCGTCTTACAGATAAACGGTTGACCTTCCATCTTAATAACGACTACTATACCTGTAAGAAGCATAAAAATAGGTCGTCAGTGAAGATGTCATACGGAGATTATGAACAGACTACTAGACTCGTGGAAGGACTTACTTCCAGGCATGACTTGTCCGCAATCTTGCAGCGTCAACGACGTCAGAGAGTTTTCCTGATCCACTCTGACGACTCCGTAACTTAAGCCAGACATGGAAAGAACTCCACGACCGGTGGCATTCACTCCCGCACGTCCCGGCCTTCTCACCGAGACTGTCAGGGCTTCACTGGAAGAGGCGCAAGGGCAGACAGCGTCCGGCCTGAGTCCTTTTGACTGAAATACTGAGAGAAACTGGTCACAGGACGACAGGGACCAGGGATTCGCTCCATCTGCGACCAGCAACAGCCTCAGCGATGCCAAAGACACATCCTTGTGGTCCTTGGTAGCCAACAGACCCCAGTGGAGGTCCCGCGACTTAACGACGGCCACACTGGCGCGATGCTTCGTAATCATTTGCATCCAACTGGCGGGGTTGACTTTCATCAGGGCGTAGGGAATAAAGATCACGTGCATTCCGTTGAGAACGCTGGTCAAAGTGCTGTGCCAGAGGCCGACTTCTCGTTTGAAATCCAACACGCAGACGGCGTTCTCGCCCTCGGTGTACCCGCAAGCCTGTGTAAGAGCGCGGCAATGGGACATCATCGCTGCTCTAGTAATCGTCACACCCATTACGGAGCCGTCCTTATCAGTAGTGTACTCGATGTACGCGGGCGTGTCATCGGTGAGACGTGGCGGTGGCAGCCAGTCCTTGGGCGTTTTGCCTAGATGTTCGGTGACGAACCAGTGCAGCTTCGGCCAACCCTTGAAGGCCACTACCTCGCCGGCAGCCGTCTTCGGCAGACCCTTCAGACATGCTTCACTGGTCAACGCCACCTGGAAACATCGTTAGATATTATCACTTGCCAAGGTCGTGGGGAGTTGTCTCACGTTAGTTGCGCAACTGAACACTTTAATGTAAATCGCGATGCAAATCGGGAGACTGTACAGCTTGTTGTAATTGAGCATGCAATAGGAAGGAATGTTGTCGAACGGATAAGGTGCTCTGGTATTCAGCTTACCTGAATTCCACAGCTTCCTAGAAGGAAACCGATCTGTTGGGAACCCGCGTCGCGACGAGTCAGAGGTACCTCAATGGGCACTGGCACGATACCGGCCTGCAGGCAGCCGTAAAAGGCGCACATGAAGCTGATCGGGTCATTGTTCGGATAAACGAGGGCGATTCTGTCGCCGGGTTTCAGGCAACAATCCCCACCGCGACTTAGGGCCTTGTTGAGAAGAGTATAGGCGATCTTATGGGAGCGGCTGAGCAGCTTTCCATACGTCAGCGTTACGCAAAGCTTGCCGTTAGGGTCGAGAACGGTCGCCACCGGCGCTTTGTACGTCGCCGAGCCATACCTGGAAACAAGCGGCGAATTCCCACATGGATTACGCGAACTTTCCGAACCTATGTAACCTTGGATCCATTGATGTATGAATATTTAGACGTAACATGTGTCCGGCAATTAAGGCAAAGAAATTGTATTTATTTTCGGCAAGGAGAAAGTTACGACACTTTGAGTTGTTCGCCTCGACTCGTCACGATTTAGCTCACGCATGTTTGCTTTGTGTAAATCTTGATGGTTGAAAGTGATGCAAAAGATTTATTGTGTTTGTCACACATATATAAAATAGAAAACAAAATTATCCAGTATCCAAGAATTGATAATTTTTTACGAATAAAATAAGTATTTTATATTCTCTTTTTAACTTTTAATATTCTTTTTAGTATCTGTCTTCCTATCAAAATTTAATAAAAAAATGACAAATCTTTTGCAGCAGCCTAATGCAATTTTATCTAATACAATATTATCTACGACATCTCTTACTTGTCTGTGATATATTATTGTATCATTTTAAGAGCCTTTCTCATTTAATTTAAATCGTAGATTAAAGTCTTGCGTAAACACTGTCTCAATTTTTTTACTTCATACATAATAACTTTGGTTTGTACACCTAAATACTGGATATATATGAATATTGTAATTTCAATAACCGCATAGAATTTTTGAGACGTTGAAATAATACAGTGCCGCAAAAAATCCTTTCAAGAATGCTATTTTAGTTCATTGCACACATCACAGTTCCAGTGCGAGCTGGTATAAAGTATATTTTGTTTCTATTTCTTAGGTCGTATATATTCAAAGAAGTCGCAACTGAATTATACCATAAGCGCAGACTTTTCCCTTTCCGCTAATTATACTTTCCCTTCACAGACTATTCCATCCAAATATCCAAATGTCGATGCCTGAATCTTTGGATCCACGATGCTCTCCGGCATCATCTTCGAGTCTAAGCCGAGGACAACTCACCTCTGGATTGCGGCCTCCAGGGATCTAGGCAAGCCTGATGGCACCGACAGGGACTCACCCACCGCTGACGTCATGGAGCCTCCCTCGGGTTTCGGGGCGTTGGGGTCCTTCGGATTAGCCGCGATCTCCAGCTCGATGTCGTCGTCTTCATAGAACTCCGGCAGCGGCCGGCGCTTCGGCCGCTTGAGCGTGTTCAATAGCTGCTGTATCTTGGCGGAGACCTTCCAGCGACCGGTGGTGCCGGTGTTGTTCTGATCCTCGACCACGTGATAACGATTCACCCGGTCGGCGCCGGGCCGTCGCGTCGCCGACTGCTGTTGCACCGTCACCGGGGTGCTGCTGGTGTGGGTGACATCCGGCGGCTGGATGTTGCAGTAGGCATGCGGCGTGTACTCGGCGATGTCCGTGATGTCGGCTCCGGGCGGCCTCCTCGCCGGCGGCCTCGGCGGCGGCGGGGTGTCCCGGGCGGAGCCGGTGCTGCTTGTGTCCGAGAGACCAGTACCTGTCGGGAAAGATCGACGACAACTTAGGACCATGGCATACAGGAAAACTTAAGCAGTAAGCAAACTGACTGGCATACAGAAAGACTTAAGCAGTAAGCAAACTGAGTCGCAGTCGCTGATTCTTGGACCGTGAGAAGAATCAGCGACTGTGATCGATCAATTTGCTTGCTGCTTACGTCTTACTGCTCAACTTTTTCTGTCCGCACTGAAAGAAAAATGTATGATACTTGGAGCTATAATAGCATAGTAAAAAGATTATAGTTAAGAATATTATTTTTATGGTAAATTTCAGCATAATGTTTGTAATATTTATAATATAAGCATAGTATAACTAACCCATGTAAAACTTTTACCAAGAACTATAATTATTTGAAATAAAAAATATAGTAAGGTTGCAAATATTGAATGGTAAGAGAAATTAACTATTTTATATAGTCAATACAATTAGAATATTTGGAAAATATAGGTACATGTAACTATATTCCCAAAGCGTTTACTATATATATATAGAGTAATAAGATGGTGACTACAAATCTGTTTTAATTCTGCTATATCTTTATGTTTAGATGAACTATAAATATATGTTTGAGGCCAAAACGAACTATAAAATATAATGAGATTATAGTTATTCCAACTATTTTTTTCTCTCAATGCAGACGACCCTTGCTCACTTCGCGACGTTTCGTGCATGTGTCCGTCGTGACACACAAAAAAACTTGAGTAGTAAGACGTAAGTAGTAAGCAAATTGAGCAATCACATTCGTTGATTCTTGGACTGTGAGAAGAATCAGCGACTGTGATCGGTCAATTTGTTTACTGTTTGCGTCTTACACTGAGAGAAAAATGTATGATATTTGGAACTATAATGGCATAATAAAAAGATTATAGTTAGAAATATAATTTTTATAGTAAATGTTACCATATTATTTGTAATATTTACAATATAAACATAGTATAAACTGACCCGTATAAAATTTTTACCAAGAATTATAATTATTTGAAATAAAAAATATAGTAAGGTAGCAAATATTGAATGGTAAGAGAAATTAACTATTTTATATAGTCAATACAATTGGAATATTTGGCAAATATAGATACATGTAACTATATTCCCAAAAGGTGCTTTACCATATATATAGAGTAATAAGATGGTGATTATAAATCTGTGTTCATTCTACTATATCTTCATGTTTGGATGAACTATAAATATATGTTTAAGGCCAAAACGAACTATAAAATATAGTAAGATTATAGTTATTCCAACTATTTTCTTCTCTCAGTGTATTGCTTAAGTTTTTCTGTGTGTCACGACCCTACCAAGAAGCGTCACGCGCGCTAGTTCCTTCACGTGCCAGTGCGCGCAATGCGACGATTGCACACACTTTTCGTATGCACGGAAAAGAAAAATTGATGCGTATTGATTATCGGCGAGTCGTCCGGCGGAAACTGTCAAGGACATGCGACGCCACGCCGGCGAGTCATACGGCGCGGCGTGGTCGAGTTGTACGCAATATACGCTCTCGTTACGCCCGTTTTCCTTTCTTTCTCGCTTTCTTCGACATACGCGCGCGGGAGAACAGATGCACCAATTACGCTCGCGACCTTAACTACAGCGTACATTGTGCTCCCGTCGTCGACGACGTTACGCTCATTCGAACAAACGACTTTGAAACCCGCGAACGTTACGTATTAACGGTCGTTACTTGAGTCTTATGCGAATAATCAGACCTGAATTCAGAGTTAGATCTAAGTTTCTTATTTGAATTTTATGTATTACGTTGCACTCTTTGTAATCGCGATTCAAATGAAAAACACTCGCGTCTCTATCATAAATAAGTTAAAGTAATTAATATCATATATGTTAATATAAGAAATAAGTTATAACATGTTCACTCTTGCATACATTCACATTATGTAAAGAAAAATGTCCTTCTTACGTTCCTTTAATCTTCTCCTTACAAGTTATTTTAACTATTCTCTTCCATGTATTTGTTTTACTATTCTTTGTTATTTTTACAACCGTAATTAAAGTCAAAATAACAAACATGAATGTAAGAAAAAAATTGGTGAGTGTCAATTGTTCGAATGAGCGACTTTGAAACCCGCGAACGTTACGTACTAACGGTCGTTACTTGAGTCTTATGCGAATAATCAGACCTGAATTCAGAGTTAGATCTAAGTTTCTTATTTGAATTTTATGTATTACGTTGCACTCTTTGTAATCGCGATTCAAATGAAAAACACTCGCGTCTCTATCATAAATAAGTTAAAGTAATTAATATCATATATGTTAATATAAGAAATAAGTTATAACACGTTCACTCTTGCATACATTCACATTATATAAAGAAAAATGTCCTGTTAAACTTCCCCTTACAAGTTATTTTAACTATTCTCCTCCATGTATTTGTTTTACTATTCTTTGTTATTTTTACAACCGTAATTAAAGTCAAAATAACAAAACATGAATGCAAGAAAAAAATTGGTGAGTATCAATTACTCAACATTCGTAATTCATCGACAAGTAATACACCAGGAATGAATTATCTTTACACCGAGTTCAGAGTGAACTTTCTGGGATATGTAGAAAATGTTAAAATTAACATTGAATGTTTTACTGTCTAAGAACCCGGCGCAAAAACGAACGTGGAGACAGTACCGGTAGGTCCACCCGCGCCAGGGCTCTCCTCGGTGACGACGCTGTCCTCGTCGCTGCTGGACTCGCCGCTATCGCGTCTTTCCCGATCGGGGCTCCTGGCCATCACGGAGGTCCTCTTGGACGGCATCGGCAAGGATGGTTTCGGCCGTCCCTGCATCGCCGCCAGCGCTTGCTGCACCGCCTCCTGGCGCACCTCTAAGCACCGAGAATCGATTACATGTGGCAGACGCGAGAGCGAATGACGCGAGCGCGGGGACACCTCATCCTCGCTTTCGCGTCGTCATCCGTTCATCACAATCATCGTCGTCGTCGCTGTCGTCTTCGTCGTCCTCTTACGGCGCTATTTATACGTACACGCTCATCATGCATACTGCGCGCGTCCTCGTGCACTTACGTCGTCGACGGTCTAAGTAACGCGACGCTTTCGTAATTGGATATGCACACATCGGGAGGAATCACGAGACGCGCTCGCTCAGACGTGGAAAGGTCGAACAATCTCGATTAGACCCTGGCAGCCGTACTGGGACTTGCCCGACGGCAGAAGCGAATGATCGCGCCGTAACTTCTTCTCGCGCTGCACGTTGACGAAGAATGGGGGGGAAGGAAAGTGCTCTCGCATGCCGCCTCATGAGTGATACATTTGTTTAAGTACATTCACGTCGGTTAAAGGTAAACGCACGACGTAAGAAGCAGCCTGTAAGTGTCTCGCACGGCGACGATTGGCGACTTCGAAAGTGAACTGTCGAGAATCGTGCGCCGTAATCGACGAACAATGACTTACATTTCTATTCTTCAGATTCTTGGAGTGAAATTTCGAGAAATAGAATGACAGCCGTGTCACCGGAATTCGAGTGATTTTTCACTCACACAGAGTGGATCCTCCACTCTGAATCGTTCGTTTTCACGCAAAATTGAAGAGGAAATCTGATGGACTCTATTGTCATTGAAATATGAATATAAATCTCTAATCAATTAAAGCATTCTTTTGTGTAAAATTAGAGATACAAGTGAAAGATTTATTTATACGATTTTGAGTCGCGATATTCTCTAGCAGTATTATCTAGCAAATATTATGAAACTTTACCCAAAAAATGTTGGCTCGACTTTAGCAAGCAAACCGAATTTTTATTTTCATTCAACATTCTTGATTGGAATGCTAAACTTACTACGATTCAGAATGCATTTAAATAAATGTGACGCTTATGATGAAGTCATGATAGAATTGTGGATATATAAACTTATGAAACACTCGAAACAAGTAACATTTAATTGCATGCGGTGTGTATTTTTCTATGTGCTGTTAACCTTGTTATTCTCGAGGGGGCCATCTGCATTTTCACCATCGCAGTCGAGTGGATTCTCGCTCGCTCTGGGCGAATTTCGCTCCAAGAAACTGAAGTAGCTAGGCAACGTAAAGCTACTCTCTTAAAGTGAATCAGTGAGTAGTCACTGATATCAGTTATAAGTATAGCACTGAGCAGTTTCAGTGCTGTATTTATAGCTGCAAACCAGTGTATATTTACTGCTTTCAACGATGTTTCGCTGATTCACTTTGAGAGAGTATGAGAACGATCCTACGACACTCATGGGCACGCTTTTTACCTGGTGACTTCGACTGGGTAATTACACTCTAAATTTCTTGGAATGAGACTTCACTCCAAGGTAGTGAAAATTGCGCCAGTCAAAGTTAGAGCGAGAATTTCACTCCAAACGAGTGAAAACTCATTCCAAGCGAGCAATTTTTTCACTCGTTTGGAGTGAGTTCTCACTCGTTTGGAGTGAAGTTCTCACTCTTAATTTTCACTACTTTGGAGTGAAGTCTCACTCCAAGAAATTTAGAGTGTAGGGTCGAGCCTCGCTCTCCGCCTGTGATAACGCGACGGCCGGAGCGCGACGATAGTTGCATCCAACGTGACCGATGCGCCGCGCGTAAACTGCAATATAATGCAGGTAACGTTCGGTCACCGGAGTCGCCGTGCATTTCCGGGTGAGGCATACCCGCGTATCGTTATTACGACATCATGCAACACCGGCGCACGCGGTTTGTTACTCGCTGCATTCGCGCGCATACAGGGTGTCCCAATGGAAAGTGTAGAGGAGACCGGGGCTGTGTATGTGCCTTTTTTAGTATTTATCTTGAGAAAGATAGTGCCACGGAGAAAAATAATTTGCTGGCTCGGCAAATCTTCTGCTGATCTAGCAAAATCTTTTCGTTATTATATGAACAGCAAAAAGATTTGCTAAGAGTACTAATCACTATTTGCTGAATATAATTTGCTGAATCTACAAATTATTTTGCTAAAAGAACCATGATGGATTTATATAAGCAGTTGCAGTTTTGCTCCGATAGCAAATAAATTTGCTAAGGATACATTATTTTGGATCAATAGCAAATTAATGTGATTTTTACGATAAATACACTCAACAAATTTTTTCTATCCTGGCAACGAAACTACTTCTGCTCTGATAACGAGTAATTTGTAAAATTAATTAGGTCGACTAAATTTTTTTTATGTCACTACGAATATGCAGTAGCAACGACAATTTTGCTAAAAGAGCAAAATTATTTTTCTCCGTGTAGATACAAAATCGCGAAATAGACCTTTTAGAACATAAATACTTTTCCCTGAGTTTCATTAAAATCGAGGTAATATTATAGTTAAGAAATAGAAAAAACTGACTTGGCAATAGGAAAGTAAATTTTCGAGCCTCTCGAAAATTTCTATTAATATTCTTCATTGTGACTGAATAAAATTAGGCGATGTGTTACGATGAAAATTCTTCCTAGGATGAAATTTCTAGCTAGAATGAAATTCCTTGAAAGTGTATGATATATTATTTCTAGTAAGAAATGCAATTTTCATTCATGAAATAATTGAAATAGAGCATAAGATAAAGTTGACCAATAATTAAGAGCAGAGATGTGGAGACTTCTCGCGGAGAATCTACTAATCAGAATACATATTTTATATGTATAGTCTTTTTATCCTGCGTTAATGAGGGACTGAATTTGATGCAAGAGCAAGATACCTATGTTGCTGCACATTCGTCTTTCGGTAACAAAACAAAGTTAACAAAATCGTGGCGAATATTAATATATAGAAGAAAATTGCCTCTATCATGTTTATATACAGTCAGTCAGAACAATTAGTTACCTGAGAAGTTCTAAAATATAAGACATCTAGTCCCGGTCTTCCCTACAATTGCAATACTTCGCTTGAGCGTTAGTAATAAATATAATGACCAAACCCGTATGATCTCACATACGGATATTATTAGCGTGCGATAATCAAGAGGAGATCGAGGAAAAGACTCGTCGTTCAGACAAATAAATATCTCTGCTGTTAGTGGAGGGAGGATGTGTCATCGTTGTGGTTTTGCGGTTTGCAATCGCTACCTACGTTCGTGAGACTCGTTTGTCTAAAGGGGGAAGAGAAAGAGAGAGAGAAAAAGTGTATTCCCTACGTGTTTCTCCTTTTGAGACGCCCTATACACCGTAGTCACAAGCATCTATCGACGCGGATGTTCTTGAACCGACTTATCTCTTCTACGAGGTACAGCCCGTCGACATCGGCCGATAACGGTGCACCAGGTGGAAGATTGCCTACATTTTGCGTTAAGATAAATGAACTTCTCTTTATCGGCGCTTCCGAACCAGGCGGGTTTTTCTCTCGGTCATGCGAAACGACATTTCACTCGGAGGAGAGCCGTAACATGAGCGGGAAGGGGAAAACAAGGTGCAAAGCTTTAATGAAAAACCTATTTCAAGGCTCAAACCAGCCAAAAGAGACGGCAAAACTGTACACATCCGCAATAAAGAACACCTTTCAACACACATCTCACGGGAGTGACGGATACTTATCATCTCTTGCCTGATCTCTGAAAATGATCCCATGAGTTGCCCGTTCCGTCTACACGCAGAAAATTTTTTTTCAATAATATATATATATATATATATATATATATATATATATATATATATATATACACATAGAGTGTCTCAGAACTCCATGATGACCCTTTGTGAGAACAGATTGAGATGAGCAAGAAAGTCCTGTGCCGTTTTGCGATATTTGCAATAATAGTCGAGATATTAATTAAAAAAGATTGGTGAATGATTACGCGCAATATGGTAGATGAGAAGTGGCGCCGTCTACCGTTGTATACTTATACATTAAATCGAACTGAACAAAAAAGTCCTTTACCATTTTATAAATGACCACATAGATTTTTAGATATTAATTAAAGAAAATTTGTGCATTATGGTATACAATCATATATGTAACAATTTTCTTTAATATTTAAAAATCTATGTGGTCATTTGCAATGTGGTAGGGGACTTTTTTGTTCAGTTTAATTTAATGTATAAGTATGCAACGGCAGACGGCGCCACTGCAGCTCACCTACCATATCGCGCGTGATCATTCTTTTTTAATTAATATCTCAACTTTATTATGTATCTTCGACTCTTATTATTGCGAATATCGCAAAACGGCAAAGGACTTTCTTGCTCACCTCAATCCGTTCTACGTTCTCACAAAGAGTCATCATAGAAGTCTGAGACATCCTGTATATATATATATATATTCATCCAGAAGAGACAAAATTTATATGTGATTGTGGTAATGAAAGTAAATTATAAGTGATTGTAGTAATGATAGTTTGATCAGATATAGGGGAAGTCATAGAGCTACATGGTCCCAGGGATATGTTGTTTATATACTTTTTTTAGTATTTATCTTGAAAGGAATAACAGATACAAAATCGCGCGATTCTTTTAGAATGTAAATACTTCCCTGAGTTTCATTAAAATCAGAATAATATTACAGATACACTGAAGGAGAAATTGCCTTAAAATTAACAAATATTTCTTTGAGGGGTGCCATTAACATATTTACTTAAATCTAAATTACCTGATTTAAGTAAACAATATTTGGTTTAAATAAAGAGAATTTAGATTCAAATAAATATGTCAATGACACCCAATCAAAGAAACATTTGTTGATTTTAAGGTAATTTTTTCCTCAGTGTAAGAAATAGATGAAACCGATTTAGTAATAGCGCAAAGTAAATTTTCGAGCCTTTCAGAATTTTCTATTAATATCTTCCGTCAATGAATGTTTAGATCTTCAAGAAAAATTTTCTGCGTGTAGATTTTTTGCTTGTCTTTCTACGCAACCTCCACGACATATTCTGATATATTCTTCATTGTTCTTCTTACATGTGGTAGCTACTGGTATTATCGAAATTTTTAATAGTTTTGCAAGGACTTAAGAATTTAGTCAAAAACAGAAACCGAAAAGTCTAACCGAAAGATTCGTTCGACGGAACGCTGAGCTAGTGTCACCCCTTTCTAACGGGGTCGTCTGTCGCACCAAGGCAACTAGGACAGCGATTCGACTATGCCCAGCATCCGTCTACGTGTACTCACCGGAATGGTATCGGCTCTCATTGCGCGTGAGTCTGCGATTGCCGCGTCTCGCGGCCGCCGCCGCCGCCGCCGCAGCCGAGTTCGAGTTCCCGGTGTTCCCTGTGGAGCCGCCAGATCCCGGGGGACTGGCGATCCCGCCAGGCACTAGCCGACCGCCTGCATGCAACACAACAACAACAACGGCACATAGACAGAGATGGGGCGCTGCTACGAGGTGTGGCAAGGCGCGATCGTCGCGTTTTGTCGCTCTTTCTCACCCTTCTCGCCGCATCCGGATAAACGAGCGGCTGAAGCATTGGCGTCCCGGAAAATTGGGGTTGGAATTAATATAGGATTAGCGGTGGAGCGCGCGCGCGTTTCCCGTCTCTCCGCAATCGTCATTAATCGCAAGCTTGATCCCGAAAGCGAGACTTTCCAGACGCGGTGGAAAGCGTGGGAAGAAGCGAGCCCGTTTATGTTAATGATCCTAGGAAGAGCCTCGCCGGGGAGAAGCCGAGGACCCTCGACGATCCCCAGCGCGAGCGTCGAAGATCCTCACAGGTCTTGGAGCGTATTGCAGGATTCCATGCGGTTAGTCGCACCCTCGCGCCAAGCTCTCCTCGAGAGATCCTCGACGACGGTTCGGCTCGCATGCCACAGTAGCGTGTTATTTATCCGGATGCGAGGTAATCACCTAATTGCGACCACTGACGACTGGCCGTTCCACCATCGGATGCTGCGTCGAGTGCGTGTGCGACTCGTATCGATCGTCCGTGGCTCGACGCAAGAAACGCGGAGGAGGAGGAGGAGGACCGTGGCGGCGTCGCGATTCATTCAGAGTAATCGCGGTGATTTCAGGATTTCAGTCGCGCGTGTCGTCCCGTCATCGTCGTTGTCGTCATCGTCGTGTGAATTTATCAGTCTGACTTGCCCAAGTGTCGACGATCGGCGTTCGCGAAGAGCCGACGCGTGAAAAATAAGTTAAAAAGAATTCTTCCTAAATCTCCTGCTCTGAAGGACCTGCTAACGGTATTGGACATTAAACAATTCAAATTTCTGCTGACCAAAATAATTGTACAGAAAAAACTTTCTTTGAAAAGTATCTTTCTTCTTCATTTATTCATCTTCAAATGAGATTATACAATATTAAGGGGTTTATTCACCAGATATATATTTTTAGAGCAGCCAAAGGGCTGCTTATATTATCTACTATCTATTATTTTCATCACAAGGAAGCTCATAAATTTATTATATAAACTATTTATTGAAATTATTCTTATATATTTATTTCACTGTCTAAATCTGAATGTTAATTTGAAATTACTCTCGTGATATTATCTTACTACGTTTCACCCAGTACAATGCTTACTTAAAGCATAACATAGCAGCTTTCTGGCCTACAATCAACTATCACACAAAAACGGTATAATGAATACTATTTTTTCCTTCTATGCCGCGGTTTCTAGAATATAGCATTTATAACGGAAAGTTTTTTATTTGGATGCTCTCACTTTATAGTTATACTGAAATAATAGTTATTTAAATCGTTTCTATCGTAAAATTATGTGTGCAAAATTGCAATATTCATATTATTACAAAACATTCTTATTGTTCAAAAATAGTTTTCATTCATGGAAAACACATGAATTATTGGATTGAGAATATGGCATTTTTAGATATCGCGCGGAAGAAGATACCGCAGTATCACTAAAATAATTTATTAATAATTACATTGCACTTCTTATGAGACTATTACAATATAAATTGAAATGGTAACATTGTTGAAATTTAGGAATTTATAAAGTACTTCCAACAAAATTATATATCATTGCTTATGTACGTAATAATTGTTAATTTGAGTATAAGTAGATACTTATCTCTTTTCTGTGCGACAAATCGAGAATCAAGAATTAATTAATCGTGATATATGTAATCACAATAATTGTATCAATTTATGAAATTAATTATTCTTCAATGCATAATCAATCAAAGTTTAATTAGTAATTAATTTCGTCAATCGATTAAATCATTTGTGTACTGAGAGGAGAGAAAATCTCATTAAAATTATAAAGTTATTTTTGGTATATATATAGTTATCAACTATATATTTTCTTGTGGTTCTAACGAAACAATAGTAGCAGCAATATGTATGTAAGATTATTATCATTGAAATTATAGAAACACTTAGTAGAAGAATGATTCTTTTGGCTATAACTCTTTTACTATACAGTTATAGTTCCAAATGTCAGGCATTTTTTCTCAATGTGATTCCACATATAACGATTGATTAGTTTTAACTAATGATTTGTCGATTATTTTGGCCAAGTCAATTAATTAATGTCCAACAGTATCTGCTGATTCACAGACATAATTTAGCACGGCAACGCGGCGCGCAGAAAATAAACAAAAAAAGAGAGGAGCTACCTAGACTGCCCGCTCAAGAGTCTGTCAGTCCACGGAGACGCGCGACGCGTGAAAAATAAATAAAGAAAATTCTCCCCAGAGATTCCCTGCTGAAGAGCCGTAACAAAAAAGAAATTGAAAAAGAAGATTCTTAGATTTGCTGTCTAGGAAGAACTAGCTGAAGAGTCGAATGTCCGTGGTCCATAGGATCCGCCGATATCGAGTATCAAGAGAATTCGCGCGGTCGAGATTTCGCGATATCAAACGTCCCCCAATTGAGGAAGATTCGTGAAGCGCGCGCACACAAATCTCCGTGGTGGTGTGTGCAACGACGAGATATCAGTGATCAGCGCGGGCGAGAATCTCTATTGACGGTGGACCACGTGAAAGATGGAGGTGTTGCGTTGCACGCTCGCGGATACACGACGCAGTCGGCTGAATAGCGAGAATGCCGATGGATAGCAGGCAAACCAGGCAGGCAAGCAGGCAGGCCAGGCAGAGGCAGGTAGGTAAGTAGGCAGGCAAGCCGGCCGGCCGGCCGGCTGGCTGGCAGCAATCTTGAGTCACCCGAAGGTGGAACAACCGGTCCCGGCTACCGCCTGGCTATGTCAAATTACAAAGGTATCTAAAGGTGCAAAAGCGTCTCTCGAGGCAACACACGCGAGAAAAGGGTATAAAGCAGGCACACAGGCTACACGAAGAGAGTAGTGCAAGCGTATGTACGGACGAATGGAATTCGTTCGCGAGGACTCCAATCCGCTCTCGAACGAGTTTCCACGGGGTGCAGAGAACGTGAAAAAGAGAAAAAGAGAGAAAAATCATTCCACAGGATCCACATCTATCTCTCTTCAAATGTGTGAACGCGACTATACAAATCGGTAGAGGGGGACACGGGCAACGAAATGAATCGATATCTCGGCGGACCGATTAGACTCGAATCACCTCTCGACTAAAAAGAGAAAGAGAGACAGAGAGAAAATGTGTGTGTGTGTGTGTTCCCTTCCAGAAAAAATGTCGATAAAACGGGCGGAAGAAAAATTCTCACAATTTATCTAACTTACACACAACGGACCGCGACAACGTATCAGTTCGAGGAAAAACGATCCGGACAGAGAGTTCTATCTACTCTAAGAGATGTCTATCATCTAATTTTCTACTCCTCTATCTCGACAAGAGTAGAACGCGCGCCGAAAGCTTGGAACCAAAGCAAAATCGAGCAACACATAGAAAAAAAGAGAGAGAGAAAGAGACACACACGCGCGCAAATCAATAATCGCCGCGTCGTATCGCATTCGCGAGTCCGAATCGCGATCGGTGGCGTATAGTACGTGGCGCTACCTGAGTGATAGCGCTTCTCGTTGTGCGTGACGCGCCGTTGCGTGCGCCGTGCACGTGGCTGCGGTCGGCCACCGCCACCACCATCGCCACAGTCTCCTCCTCCTCCTCCTCCTCCACCGCCGCCACCGCCGCCGCTGCCACCGCCGCCGCCGCCGCCGCCGCCACCTCCCCCGCTCCCATAACCCGTTCTCTCCAGCCCTCCACCTCCACCACCAGCATTTCCAGCCCCTACGATCCACATAGACGCGTATGCACAGAGCCGTTTCGTTTCTCAGACACTCGTTCGCTTTCGTGTACATTTTATCGTTACGTCATATCCGTCTTACACCGACCTTCGAGCGGATAAGCTGAGGAACGGACATCGGTAATTGTTTTTCCCGATAAAATACTCGGGAGACAAGGATATATATTAGGGCTGCTATATTCAAACGGATTTAACACTACCCGGGTATCCGGGTATCCAAGTAACGGATAAATATGACACTTCAAATCCGCGTAATGAGATACGATGAGATGCATGAGATAAATGAGATACGAACAATTGAAACATCGGATCCGGATCTAATTCGCGGCGGAGTCGACACCGACACGTAATGCAAGATTACAATTGCCGGGAGTTTGGATTTAAAACTAGTTTGGGCAAAAATATAAAACGCAAGGATATCGTAAGTAATCTCGCTGGCTATTTGTCTCTGAGCCTGGTGCCGTTAGGCGTGTTAACGGTCGGAGAGATGAATATATATTCTTCATTATTATTATTATCTATTAATGTTTCCCGAGAGGAACATTAATAAATAATAATAATAAAGAATATTTATTCATCTCTCCGACCGTTAACACGCCAAACAGCGCCAAGCTCAGAGACAAATAGCAAGCGAGATTTATAATATTACTTACGATATACTTGCGTTTTATATTTTTACGCAAACTGGTTTTAAATCCAAACTCCCGGCAATCGTAATCTTGCATTATGTGTCGCTGTCGACTCCGCCGCGAATTAGATCCAGATCCGATGTTTCAATTCGTATCTCATTTATCTCATGCATCTCATCGTATCTCATTACGCGGATTTGAAATCTTAGATCGGATTCGATCTCGGATACCCGGATAATCATTTATTCGGATGTTAAGAGCCCTAATATATATATATATATATATATATATATATATATATATATATATATATGTGCGTGTGTGTGTGTGTGTGTGTCCCGAATCTCCATGATGATCCTTGGTGAGAACGTAGAACGGATTGAGGTGAGCAAGAAAGTTCTGTGC